TTAGGTTTTGTGTTAACAATTTTAGCAGCATCTGACATTGAACAGCACAGCACACATTGGTATGGACATGGATTCCTTCTCCCATTCTGTCTGTACTAATGGAAGGCTGGGCAATTTTCATCCAGGTGTAAGTGGGCTGGGGATTGGCTGATGCAAGAGGCTTGGGATTGTCTGATGTAAGAGGACTGAGGATTGGCTGATGTAAGAGGGCTGAGGATTGGCTGATGTAAGAGAGTTGAGGACTGGCTGATGGAATTAATTTTTTTAAAGTTATCTTCCTGTTGCTGTCTGGAAATGTCTAGTGCTTTCCATAAATAGAATTCTTCCTATTTCCCCAAATGAAATGTCCTCTCATTTTCTAAATGTTACCATTACCTTCCTTCCTTCCTTCCTTCCTTCCTTCCTTCCTTCCTTCCTTCCTTCCTTCCTCCCTCCCTCCCTTCCTTCCTTCCTCCCTCCCTTCCTTCTTTTCTTTCTTTCTTTGGTCTTGCAGACTTTTCTGCCTGGGAAGTTCTCAGTCTCCTATATAGTTAGGATTACAGGCATGAGCACCAGTACCCTGTTCATCCCTTACATATTTCCTCCCCACCAGTCCTGGGTCTTGAACTCTGGGCCTGGGCACTGTCTCTCAGTTCTTCAGCTCAAGGCAAGCGCTCTACCACTTAGCCACAGCATCACTTCTGGTTTTCTGGCTGGTTTATTGGAGATAAGAGTCTCATGGCCTTTCCTGCCTGGGCTGGCTTTGAACTGCGATGCTCAGATCTCAGCCTCCTTAGAATTACAGGTGTGAGCCGCTAGCACCCAGTTCCTTATATATCTTTTTATCCTCGAGTCACTTTAACCTTTATGATCACTTGGTGGCACAGAAGAGAGCCTGACTTTCCTGACTTTCTTTCCAGGCATGTAATCCAGAGCCAGTCAATTTTCGGCTAATAAATATATTTATTCTTCCCACACCTCCTGGGGTGGGAACCTTTCTAATAGTTATACAAATAAATCCCTTATACAGAGTAAGTAGCTGTCATCAGACACCAGATCAGATGTCAAGAATAGCCAAGTAGCAGATTGTTACAGTTTTACTATGTTCTTTTCCCCCCTTTAATTAGTGGTCAGTGATTCTAGTCCCCTGAAGGCATCCTAATAAAATACCAAGATCCTCAGATGGTGTGCTGGCGGAGTCTTCCTGAGATCCTCTATATCTTCCTGAGTTTGTGTTTAGCTGTGAGACCATACATTGTGTTCTAAGGCTTGTTTACCATGTTGTCGGCAAATATAGTGCTTTTCCATCTGGGCATAATTAAACCTCCACTGAAGTTAGTCTTTTAGTTTGTAAACAAAAAACTTTTTTCTTTTCTTTCTGTTATGTGGGACTAGTGTTTGAACTCTTGGCTGTTGCTCTACCAACCGAGCCATGTCTCCAACCCCAGCAAAAGAATTTATTCTTGTGAGTCATCTTCATCAATTCTACTGTCTTTAAACCTCTATGTGACCTTTACTCTCTTCCTAATTAGCAATAATAGTGCCAGCCTTGTGAAGTTTATAACTGGTGCTTTTTGTTCCCAGTTACTTGAGTTTTTCCCCTTTTATTTAATTTATTCAAGGATAATGATATACAGTAACTCGACACAAATTCAAAGCACCCTAACTTGCTGAATTTATACAGCCATACAAAAAATCAATGAGTACAGCTGGTGAGATTCCACGTGTGCAGGTAAAAACAATTTCCCAAGAAAGTTTAAATGCTTATAAAATTAAGTTATGCAATTTATGTAAGTTGTTAAAATGTCGTGAGACTCTCTGGTCCATCTTTTTTTTTTGTCGGTCATGGGGCTGGAACTCTGGACCTGAGTGTTATCCCTCAGCTCTTCAGCTCAAGGCAAGCACTCTACCACTTGAGCTACAGTGCCACTTCCAGGTTTCTGGTGGTTTATTGGAGATAAGACTTTCACAGCCTTTCATGCCCAGGCTGGCTTTGAACGGCGACCTCAGATCTCAGCCTCCTGAGTAGGTAGCATTACAGGTGTAAGCCACCAGTGCCCGGCTCTCTGGTCCATCTTATGGATAGAGCTGGAGGTTGTTTTGTACAGATAAATACAAATAAAGCCAATACAGGAAAAACCAGTTACCCCCACGTTCTCACTCATGAGTAGACTCTACAAGTCAATCTCTCAGAGGTGTGGAGTGTAATGGCAGCCATCATCAGAGCCTGGGAGAGAAAAAGGCGGGTCAGGGGCAGGAAGTAACAGGTTAAAATGAGATGGAAGAAGTCCTTTTGCACCACTCCCAGCAGCCGGGTTGAAGGTGATGGTTCTCTTCGTTAGACTAAGGGAATGGGTCAGGAGCTCAGCATTTGCGCACAGGCTCTGGGCACTGCCCTGATCCCTGGTCCTGCTCAGATGCAGGGAAATGAGCCTGGTTGCCATGTGGATGCGCTGGTCATCGGCTCCTGGGCTGCTTTCCTGCTCTTAGTTAGCTTCATCTCTGTGTGTATTGGACATTGCCAGTTGCCATGGGAACTACTTTTTTTTTTTTTTTTACAGCCTTTCCATGTCCTCCCACAAGCCCCCCAGATTTTGTCTTCTGAAGTAACAAGCGTCCAAATCTATGGGTGGGGGAGCTCCATTCAATTCTCTGTAGGGGAAGGAGACTCAGGACAGACTGGAGGTTGTGGGGGCCTCAGAAGCGACAACCTGGAAGCAGATACATGTCACAGTGGAGATCCTGGAGGTGGGCTTCAGGCGAGGCCTGGCAGTCACATGACTCGGAGGGTCAGTTTGCTTCAGCCCCACCTGGAGTGAACGCCTGTCAGGATGGAGGTCCTGGAGTCGGTCTGAGTCAGGCCCCACCAGCAGTTCACTTCCCGGCTTTGGTGGTGGTGAAGTGGGGTGGGGGAAAGGGGCTGTGGAAATCAGTAAAGACTCCCACTCTGGTCTCTCAGAACTGCCTGCCTGCCAGAAAAGACATCCTGGGGGATGGTTCTAGAATGTGGGACTTGGACTGTTGGAACCTGTCTAGCAAGTCTGCAACTCTCTTGAGGGTCTGGAGGCAGGGCCCAGGGAGAGAAGTAGTGCACCAGCCATAGGTGCACTAACTTCCCCGTGATTCAGGCGATTCTCTGCTTCCTCCTTTCCTGGAAGGTGTGGCCACCGGCTGCCAGGCTGGCGTTCTCTGCCGCTTAAACTGGAGGACCACGTCAGACCTTCTCTGTCTCTGTATCTCTCCTCCCTCTGTGGCTATTTCCCATTCAGACCAGTAGTGGAGTGTTCTAAGAGTCCCTGAGCTGTGTGTGGCTCAAGTGGTAGAGCACCTGCCTTGAGCAAATAAAAGCTGAAGAACAACACCCAAGCCCTGAGTTCAAGCCCCAGTATTGGTGCAAAAAGAAACAACACAGCCAGGTGCCAGTGGCTCATGCCTGTAAATCCTAGCTGAGATCTGAGAGTCTCAGTTCAAAGCCAGCCCAGGCATGTAAGTCTGAGACTCTTATCTCCAGTAAACCACCAGAAAACTGGAAGTGTGCTATGGCTCAAGTGGTAGAGGGCTAGCCTTGAGCTGAAGAGTTCAGGGATATCGAGCTGAAGAGTTCAGGGATATCGCCCAGGCTCTTTGATTAATTGGAGATAAGAGTCTCACAGACTTTCCTGCCTGGGCTGGCTTTGAACGGTGATCCTCAGATCTCAGCCTCCACAGGTGCCTGACTAAATTGGGGAGCTTTTGTTGATTTGAGCTAGCCACACAGATGATCGCAGAGGTGATGTGCACATTTCCACCTGACATCCTGGCCAACCTCTATGTGTCCCAGGGGGTCTAGGCCTAAACATGGACCAGTTTCTAGTCATGAAATCCACAGACGTCCCAAGAAAGAACACACGGCACACCAGAAAAGGCCACTAGCATCCTATTTATTTGCTAGTATAGCACTGAATACTCTCAAGGAACTTACAACACAACACTTGATTCTTTCTATAGATTAACACTCAAATTACCTAAATTGGATTTCATCCATTGAATTTGAGGCATTTTCAACTGTTATAAATTCTAACATTCAAAGAAATTTGTGACAATTTAAAATATCCCTCTCCCAATGTTCTATCTTAATGAGGTACACTCAGGGTACTGCAATTTTCCTACTTTTCCAAAAGCTGATTTGAGCCAGTAAGGAGACAATACAGTACGGCTCAGCTAGTGTGATCGGACAAGTAACCGACATTCGAGGACATCTTGTCACTGAGTGACAGCTCAGCCCCACTACCTCCTCCACATTCTCAGAGCCTCCGATTTTCATGAATTACCCAATGTCTGACTTCTGCTGCAAAGCCTTTCCAAATTCTCTGCACTTCTGAGGTTTGTGGAATGAGGTCTTTGATGTACATGGGGGCAATCTGTGCAGAGAATTTCCTACACTGGAACCTGGTGCTTGCTCACAGGAGTTTTCAAGTCATTAAGTCTTAAATACATCTAGTTTTAAATCTGTGAGTTTTAGATGTCATATACAGACAGCACAAGTTTTTACTCAGCTTCCCTTTTTTTATTGGGGGATTCCTCTTTGGGGTCCCCTTCAGGATGGACAGTCTTGCTACTTTCTTTCATGACATTCACTTCCAAATAAAATTACCTTAAAACATCATATCCTGTCAATTAGCCCAGATGAACTATCAAACCTGAGTTAATGAGACACTCCAGCTTTAGTTTCTCAAGTAGCTGAGATTAAAGCAGGCACCACTAGGTCTGGCAATTTCTTATATGCACCTGGGTTCCGGCTTGTATCCCTTTTCTTATATAGAGGTGACACTATGTGAAAGCTTTCCTACGTGTGTGTGTGTGTGTGTGTACATGTGTGCAGCAGTCCTGGGGTTTGAACTCAGAGCCTGGGATTTTTTTGTGCCAGGCTAGCTCTCCACCACTTAAGCTACAGGCCAGGGTACACTGACGCCCGAGGCTATGATATCCCTACACTTTTTACAGTGAGGGACGGGGACAGTGTTGTCTTACATTCATCTCATTCACAGGGCCATCTGACCCATGTGACGTCGCTGGTGCACATGCAAGGACTTCAGAACTTTGAATGCTTTCTTACACACCTCACACTCGTAGGGCTTCTGACTGCTGTGAGCTCTCTGGTGGACGGTGAGACATGACTTCCACACAAAGGCTCTGCCACATTCGGAACACTGGTAGGGCTTCTCGCCGGTATGAATCCTCTGATGGATGGAGAGGTATGAAGCGCATTTGAACATCTTCTTACAGTGTGCACACTCATAGGGCCTCTCATTTGTGTGCGTTTTCCGGTGCACCCGGAGGCTGGATGCGGAATAGAAAGCCTTCCTGCATTCCTGACACTCGTAGGGCTTCTCACCTGTGTGGTGTCGCAGGTGGACGGTGAGGAGGGGCTTAGAGCAGAATGCTTTGGGACACCTGTCACACTGATAGGGCTTCTCACCTGTGTGGGTCCTTCGGTGCACCGTGAGGGAAGATAAACTTTTGAACGTCTTCCTACATTCTGGACACTCATAGGGTTTCTCACCGGTGTGAGTTCTCTGATGCACAATGAGGTATGACTTACAACGGAAAGTTTTCCGACACTCTCCGCACTGATAAGGTCTCTCGTCGGTATGGATTTTCTGATGTGTGAGAAGGGAGGCCCAATGGCTGAACAATTTCCTACATTCGTCACATTTGTACAGTCTTTCTTTTGTGTGATTTCTCTGATGCTCTGTGAGGTGGGACTTGTAACAGAAAAATGCCCTGCATTTCTTACACTCATAGGACTCCTTACCTATGTGAGTTCTCTCATTAGCTTGGAGGTTCGCCTTCTGGGAAAAGGGCTTCCTGTAGATTTTACATCTAGTAAGTTTTTCCCTAGTGGACACCTGCTGATCACTGCTTACTTCTGACCTCTCGCAGAATCTCTTACATTGTGTATGCTCTTCCACTGTGTGTGTTTCTTCTTGTTTTATGAGGTGTGACTTCTTGTGGAAAGATTTCTCACCATTACTAGGTTTGTAGAATTTCTCTCCTTTGTGGGCTTCCTCATGGTCACTAAGCTCAGACATGTTACAGAAAACTATCCCACACATATTACATCCAAAAGATTCCTTCAGAACCTGGGCTACTTTTCGGGCTACGGGCAATACCTGCTCAAAGGGTTTCTTATATTCGTGAAACTTACTCCAAGTGTGTTGCAGCTGAGACTTCTTAGGTGTCAATGTCATCCTCGCGTTTGCCTTTCCTGGCTCTAAATATTGAAAATACTTTTGTGAACTTTGAATCTTATTCTGTACATCAGAATGTTCTGGATACCTGAGGAGTTTCTCGTTAAGAGCGTCAGGTTCCTGTCCAGGGTGCAGCTCCTCAAGCTCACCATGGTGTAGTACGTTTTGGCTTACACAGAGCCCTCCAGGCATCGTTACTGAATAGCACCCACTGTTTCTGTTCAGATTTGAGGTAGGGTTTGAGTTCATAGGAAATATTCCTCCTACTTTAACTGTGTGTTCAGCTGATGTACTACTACTGTTCATCATCACAACTTCCTGCAAATCTCTCTCTGGATTTTCCTGGCCAATGTCAAGTGGACCATTCATTTTCTGGACAGCTAAAATGACATGAAAATCATCAGTACCAACAAAGCACATCAAAACATTCTGCAACTCAAACATAAATGTAATATCACAATTACCTAATAGTGTAAGATTTTAAAATAATCTGGACCTAAGGATTTTGTACCTGGTGATGAATAAAACATGGCATTGGGAGATTTTCAGTGCTACGTTCTTTTAGTTGTTCTACACCTATGAAATGTGCATCATCTGTTACCGTAGGAATCCGTAACTCCATAAATTCTGCAATGTGCAATGTGTATGGCACACAGGGCTTGATCTGGAGCTTGCTTCCTCATTTTATCAGCTCCATAAGTGTCTGCCTCAATAAATATGACCTAAATACTTGTTTCAAGCTACTGATTCCCAAATTTGTATTTACATTATAATCATGACAACAGAAGTCTACACCTTATTCATCCCTACATGTTACATACCAAATTTTGAAAGTACTCACTTCAAAATTAGTAAGGAACAATCTCTTTAATGGGCTTCCTTTAAGAGCTGGCCAGTCATCTAGAGCTTTTGTTTTCTTCTTAGTCTTTGTGGCTCTTATCTCAACACCAAATAACTTTACCTTTGTGACCCCTTTCTCCCCCACAAAGATGTAAGTGCTGTAAGAGGACGCACACACGTTTGATTTCTTCTAGCATCATACAGCTATAAAGACCAGAGCCTATGACACAACCAAACAGACGTGTGATAAGGAGCTAACACGGGAGCGAAACAAAGCAGGCAACCCAGCAGGGATGGTTTTACATGTGACAATCTGACTTGGAAACCTTATGCTGCTGCAGTGTTAGAACACAGCTCACCATGGCCAGGATCTGACGAGCTACCTCTCCTCCTCCTGATCCTCCTCCTTGTGTGCAATGACTGACCGGAAAGACTCCAGTATAGACCTTCTGCTGCCATAGCTGGCTCAATTCCTTGCTCCAACCTGAAGATTAACTCTGGTTTGGTACTGCAGTGCCCTGTAAATGCAAAATAGCTTAAGATTCATTGCAAATGCTAAGTCAGATCCACGGAGCAGACATCTCCAATTTATCAAGTGTGTGGTGATGGGACCAATTTTAAACTTTAGAGAAAGCATACACTCTCAATCATCATGGCTACAGTTTGAAATCTACTATACTAGTAAATCTAATATAGGTAAGGCTATTAGTTTGATCCTTAATTTGTCAAAAAAGTTGTATGGGAAATAACCTACAATGATGAATTTAAGAAAATAGACATCTTGGGGGCGGGTACTAGTGGGAGAGCAGACAGAGAATGTAGGTTGATAAATATGGTCAAGATACTTTAGTACTCTGTGGAATATGAAAAAATATTATGTGTAAAGATGGAACAAGGAAACTTGTTGGAGTTGTTTTTGGAAGTGTGATGAGGGAGAGTGGCAGAGGACATAGTCTGATCAACTTGTATGGTTTGCATATATATTTCATGCCAAAATAAAATTTCTGTCCACAAATAACTGATGTAAGTTTAAAAAAAATGGGAAAAGTGCTAAGGGAGGAATCAGAATAAACGAGAGGTGGCACAATAAAATTAGTAGGTTAACTTATGATGTATAGGAGATATTAGGAAAAGAGACAGAGTACATAAAGAACAAATGGGAACTAGCTGTGGTGAGGTACTCTTGTAACCCCAGCATTCAGGAAGCTGAGACACCAGTACAACATCACAAGACTCTCTCAAAACTTTAAGAAAACACAGCAGAAAAGAACCAACCAGGAATTTGGGAATTAAGAACTCATATATTAAAAAAATGCAAAGAACAAACAAGCAAATAAACAAAATCAAACAGCTAGAACACTTAACAGAAGTAACCAGGCAGAATTAATTAGAAGAATCAATATCTTAAGAGTGAAGATAGGTTACTTTAAAATAATTCATATGAAAAAATAAAACAATTCATATGGATTAATAAAGATATAAGGTGAGAAGGAAGACAAAGTCTTTCATACACAGGCCAACATAAACAAGCTAACATTTGCACTACAGATGCTCCAGTCAGGGAAGGAAAAGGGTATCAAACAGGTATTCAACAAAAGAATTGTCACCCAAGGGAGAGATATGGATATAGAGGCCAGGAAGCTTAAACAACTCCTGATTTTTTGGCCAATAAAGGCTCTGAGATATATTTTCCTCAACTCATCACAAGTACACAATAGTGAGAAAATCCTAAAAATAGCAAAAAGCACCACGTCACTTATAAAAAAATACTAGAGGACCAGCAGAAAACAGAATAGACATAAGAGGCTATGCAAAAATGTCTTGAAAGTTTCCCCCTGAGAATATTTTATCCTAAAAATCTGTCCTTCAGAATAGAATCAAATAAACACCTTACCTAGGAAAAAAATGTCAGGAGATCCACCACTAGGTCAGATTTACAAGAAATACTTAAGTACATCCTTTTACTAGAAGACATAATTGCCACCATGAAAACATAATAATTTATAAACTCAATGACAGAAGCAGACACTCAAAGAATAAACCCTATCCATACAAACATCAAGCAGACAAAAAAAAGATTAAGGGGAGGAAAAAGGAAAACAATATGCAAAACAATTAGAAAAAAGTAACAGAGTATCAAGTCTTTGTAAATCTGATTTAACCAGATGAAATTCTAATCACAGAACTTAAGATATAGACTCACTGAATGGCATAAAAGTAACTTAGGTGCCACGGTTATCTGCCTAAAAAAAACCCATTTCAGGAAAAATGCACATGGAGTCAAAGGGAAGGTGTGGAAAAGATAAACTGTGCAAGTGGAAACAGACGAAACTGCTGTCATTTAATATGGTACATTTTTTAAAATTAAGAAGTGCAAGAGGAAAAAAAGGTCAGTATAAAATGATGAGCTGGGCGCTGGTGGCTCACACCTGTAATCCTAGCGACTCAGGAAGCTGAGATCTGAGGATCACAGTTAAAAGCCAGCCCAGGCAGGAAAATCCATGAGACTCTTATCTCCAATAAAGCACTAGAAAACTAGAAGTGGCGCTGTGGCTCAAGTGGTGGAGCACTGAAGAGCTGAGGGACAGTGCTCAGGCCCAGAGTTCAAGCCCTATGACCAACAACAACAACAACAAAAGATGATCATGATTCAGTTGGGCACTGATGGCTCACACCTGTAAGCCTAGCTATTTAAGGGGTTGAGATCTGAGGACTGCAATTCTAAGCTAGCCCAGGCAGGGAAGTCTACGAGACTCATCTCCAAAAAGTGGAGCTGTGGCTCAGGTAGTGGACACCAGCCTTGTGTGAAGCAGCTAAGGGACAGAGCCCAGGTCCTGAGTTCAAGTCTCAGCACTACCACATACCAAAAAAGGTCAATTCAAAAAGGGTCCAGTTATAATGATAGACATGCACAGCCAATACTGAATACCTGATTATATAATGCAAGTATTTACTAGATGTAAAAGATGCAGAATAATTTGCAATGTGGCAGAGCATATTAGCCTAACTATGAGTGATCACCATTAATTGAATATTTCAGAACAGCCAGTGCAAAGGATGTTACTTGTTCCATGTGCAAAGAAGTTGTGTTTGCTTAAACTGATAAGACTAGCCAATAATTGAGACCTGGTCATTGTAACTTGTTATTTGTCTACTGAAATGCCACACTGTAATGTGTTATAGGGATGTGCTACTACTTTGTGTCAGTTCAAAACATGTAATAAGGCAGTAGAGGTAAAAAGTCAGAAATGGTTGGTGCATTTCCTACACCAAGAGAAGCTCTTCTGTTCCTGCAAGTGTCACTGACCCACGAACACCAGGTTGCTGTAGGTGTCCAACATCACGTTCCTGTAGAGTGTCCTCTGAGCATTGTCTAGGACCTGCCACTCCTCCTGGGTGAAGTCCATGGCCACATCCTCAAATGTCACTGGCTCCTGAAATGACATTTTGTTCCTCATTCCCAGTCCACATGCCCTAGGAATGCCAATACCCAAATTCTTTTTTTTTTTTTAAATTTAATTTTATTTGTGAACATACTGTGCAGAGGGGTTACAATTACATGGGCAGGATAATGTGTACATTTCTTACCAAGCATTGCAGCCTCCTCCTTTGTTTACCCTTCACCCAAATTCTTAATAGTGTGCAACTCGATTTGTATTCTATTCTGAGGTAGAAAAGTCAATGCAATATGATTACTGTGCCACTTACAGGGCACAAGGGGTGGAAAGGACTTTGTAATGTTTATGATAGGATTAAAGAAATTTTTGCTATTGACTTCTTTTTCTTTTCTTTCTTTTTGCCCTCCTAGGGCTTGAACTCAGGGCCTGGGCGCTGTCCCTGAACTTCTTTTGCTCAAGGCGAGTGCTCTACCACTTGAGCCACAGCACCACTTCTGGCTTTTTCTGTGTATGTGGTACTGAGGAATTGACCTCAGGACTTCATGCATGCTAGGCAAGCACTCTCCCACTGAGCCCTCTTCCTGGTCCTTGATTTCTTCCTATTGAAAATTTCTTTGATCCTGTAATTACATCTGCAATCCCTGCTACTGAGGGAGGATCATGGTTCAAATCCAGCTCAGACAGGTAAATCCATAAGCTCATCTCCGATAAACCACCAAGAGACCAAAAAGTGGAGCCAGTGGCTCAGGTGGTAGAGCGCCA